GACGGCCTCCGGCGCCTCCACATCTGTGGCTCGTGACGATCTGTGGTCGTGGACGGCTCCATCGCTGTGGCTGGTGGACAGCCTCCAGGGCCTCCACATCTGTGCTCGGCTTCGGGCTCCACGGGCCTCGGCACCATCTGTGGCTCGTGACGGCCTCCAGTGGCTCATGGACGGCTCCGGGCCTCCACCATCTGTGGCTCGTGGACGGCCTCAAGGGCCCTCCACCTCTGTGGCTCGTGGACGGCTCGGCTCCTCCACCATCTGTGGCTTGTGGACGGCCTCCGGCGCTTCCACATCTGTGGCTCGTGGATCGCTGACGGTGGCTCGTGACGCCTCCACCATCTGTGGCTCGTGGACTCTCCATCTGTGGCCGTCACATTGTGGCTCGTGGACGGCCTCCGGCGCCTCATCTGTGGCTCGTGGACGGGCCTCCGGGCTCCACATCTGTGGCTCGTGGACGGCCTCCGGGCCTCCACCATCTGTGGCTCGTGGACCTCCAGGGCCTCCACCATCTGTGGCTCGTGGACGGCCTCTCACATCTGTGGCTCGTGACGACAATCTGTGGCTCGTGGACGGCCTCCGGCGCTTCACCATCTGTGGCTCGTGGACGGGCCTCCACCATCTGTGGCTCGTGGATGGCCTCCACCATCTGTGGGTCGTGGACGGCCTCGGCGCCTCCACATCTGTGGCTCGTAGACGGCCTCCATCCATCTGTGGCTCGTGGACGGCCTCCACATCTGTGGCTCGTGGACGGCCTCCAAGACTCCACCATCTGTGGCTCGTGGACGGCTCCAGGGCCTCCACCATTTTGGTCGTGGACGGCCTCCGTCGCCTCCACCATCTGTGGCTCGTGGACGGCCTCCGGCGCCTCCACCATCTGTGGCTTGTGGACGGCCTCCGGCGCTTCCACCATCTGTGGCTCATGGATGGCCTCCAGGGCCTCCACTATCTGTGGCTCATGGACGGCCTCCGGTGCCTCCACCATCTGTGGCTCGTGACGGGGGCTTCCACCATCTGTGGCTCGGGACGGGGCACCATCTGTGGCTCGTGACGGCCTCCGGCGCCTCCACCATCTGTGGCTGGTGGACGGCCTCCGGCGCCTCCACCATCTGTGGCTCGTGGACGGCCTCAGGCGCTTCCACCATCTGTGGCTCGTGGACGGCCTCCGGCGCCTCCACTGCCTGTGGCTCGTGGAATGCGGCGCCTTCTGTGGCTCGTGGATGGCCTCCGGCGCTTCCACCATCTGTGGCTCGTGGACGGCCTCCGGCGCCTCCACTATCTGTGACTCGTGGACGGCCTCCGGCGCCTCCACCATCTGTGGCTCGTTGACGGCCTCCAGGGCCTCCACTATCTGTGGCTCGTGGACGGCCTCCAGGGCCTCCACTATCTGTGGCTCGTGGACGGCCTCCGGCGCTTCACCGTCTGTGGCTCGTGGACGGCCCTCAGGGCCTCCATCATCTGTGGCTCGTGGACGGCCTCCAGGCCTCCACTATCTGTGGCTCGTGGACGCCTCCGCGCCTCACTATCTGTGGCTCGGCTCCGACGTGGCTCGTGACGGCCTCCGGCGCCTCCACTATCTGTGGCTCGTGGAATGCCTCGGCGCCTCCACATCTGTGGCTCGTGGACGGCCTCCGGCGCTTCCACCATCTGCTGCTCGTGGACGGCCTCCATCATCTGTGGCTCGACATCTGTGGCTCGTGACGGCCTCCACCATCTGTGGGTCGTGGACGGCCTCCGGCACTTCCACCATCTGTGGCTCGTGGACGGCCTCCAGGGCCTCCACCATCTGTGGCTCGTGGACGGCCTCCGGCGCTTCCACCATCTGTCCCCAGAGTCCTGGATCTTGGTTTTGGTCCAGGAGACCTCTAGACCCAAGGGCTTTGCTTTCTTACTAAATGCATCGAGAGCCACCACTAAGGATTCCAAAGACTCAGATAGAATAGCATCATTAGCAAAGTCAAGGTCAGTAATTTTGATATTGCCCAGAGTTGCTTCACAATGGCTTTGAACAGTAGCTCTGCCCAGTATCCAGTCCATATAAATGTTGAAAAGTTTATGTGCAAGGACACAGCCTTGCCTCACTCCTGAACTAACAGGAAAGAAGCTCGACAGTCCTCCCCCTCCCCACCCCCACCCACACACACATACTTTACAGCACCAATATCTGGGCTTGTTGTTAGTCCAATAATCCTTGATGGAATATCTCTTAATCTCAGAATCTCCCAGAGTGATTCCCGATGCACCGTTTCGAATGCCTTCTTGAGATCGAACTCACAACGGCGCCTCCACTATCTGTGGCTCGTGGACGGCCTCCGGCGCTTCCATCATCTGTGGCTCGTAGACGTCTCCGGCGCCTCCACCATCTATGGCTCGTGGACAGCCTCCAGGGCCTCCACCACCTGTGGCTTGTGGACGGCCTTCAGGGCTCCACCACCTGTGGCTCGTGGACGGCCTCCAGGGCCTCCACCATCTGTGGCTCGTGGACGGCCTCCAGGGCCTC